TGGCCATTTGAATAAGAACAAGATTGTGAATAAATATTTGAGATGTTAATACTAATATTTAAATGCTTCTTCATTGTTGAGAAATATGTAAGTAGACTGCTGCTGCCCAAACTTAAAAATAATGGGATTCATTTTATAGAGACTGCACACTCTATAGGAAATTGGATTTATTATGGCAAAGTATTCAATTAAAACTTTTTAGTACCCATCTCCCAGCAGAGAAACTAAATCTAAAGCTCTGATTCCTCTCTAATTTTAGTTTGAAATTTCCAAATGACTTCTAATCACAATATTCTATTGCACAATGGGCAGGATTGAACATTGAACATCTGCAGCAAAAATGTATACAAAACTTATCCCTAGAAACAAAACGTTGCAATTGTGTTAGTTATTTCACAGCTTCTAATGCATTCTGCAGCGGCAAGTTATATTCCTCATATTACCTTGTTCAAAATGTACATGGGGCAGCTGGCTCTTTTTTCCTTTCCTTACATTTTCATGATTTATATAAATACTTTTGCAGCTGTATTGTATTTTATTTTTATCCTTTGCATTTTATTGGCACAAAACTACTCGTGCATTTACAGTGCTCCCATGCGTATTTACCTATTTATTCCATGATTATTTATTGAAAGCTATCTCATGCTCAGTTACTTTTCCACTTTCTTTTGCTTTAAACATTAAACAGATGCAGTCTATTTTCAAATAATTTAAACGCAAATCTTGATGAGTGAATTCTCTCCTTCTGCTGTGTCAGTGATTTTTTTGTTTTCTTGAATTGCACATATCCATCTGCTCTATCAAATCACACACAGATTAGAGGGTTACAGGACCTCCAGGGAGTGGAGCAATTTTAAATATTTTTATTAAGAAAGATATACAAATTTCCATTTCTTTTTAGACGATATTTAATTTATAACTTTAAAGCAGTTTCTAAATGGGCTGATTGTGAACAAGTCTTCATTGAGGTCCTAATCCTTTTCGGCTTGTTTTTTCTTTCCTCAAAGAAGGATATTGATTGATTACACTTGACTTCTGATAGGCCTGATTACCTTTTGCCTTGAAGCAGGCATTTTGCCTGAGTAAGGAAGTATAGGACAGGGGATTTGCTTTGCTTTTAGGGATGTGCTGGGAACTGCGTTCTTTTCTGAAAGAAATCCAAGTTGCTTCTTATTCCATAATCACAGCATTTCTCACCAACAGCCATGTGAGAGTGACAATACTTTATTAGTTAGAGGAAAACTGTTTTAAATTTGTTTTGTTTTTTTGGTCCCCAGAGAGGAAAATAAGAGAAGAGAGGGAGAAGATGTGCATAATGTCAAACATGGTTGACATTAGAGATTGAGGCAGAGAGACAAACTTATGCAAGATATACAATCCATTATGCAAAATAGGCATGTTCCCAACATAATGTGATTATGATTATTATTTGTATAGACAAACCTGCAGGAAAAGTCCATGGAAAGCCCAAGTTTGTATTCTAAGTAAAGGTTTAAATGAGCAAAAATGACTTGTTCTACATTAGGGACTGTTACTAAAAAATCCCAGGTGTACCCTGACCCAGTGGCAGCGTCTTTGAGCCATTCCCTAAAGTTTTCCAGTAAAGACATGACATGAGAGTGAACTTACTAAACATTGCTGAAGTCCTAAGGGGAATTGAAGATGTTTAGCAGCAGCAGAGCATTAGAAACACTTTATACTAATGATGTTCTTTTGCATTGCAATGGGACGAAGCCAGTGTAGCAAACAGCCTTTTAATGAACACTATGTTACTTGATTGAAGATTTTGCAGAGAGGTTTGATGTCTCATTGTAACTTTTAATGAATGTATCTACTTCCTCCTTGTGAGGAGGGCACAAACCAATTTTTATCAATACCCTGTGTTGATTAGTCTTTGGGCTGTCCATCAGTCCTTCACTGCAATTATTAATAATGTGTGGTGTGTCTTCAGTCAACAGAGTCATAAAACTGCTTATGTTTTTAGGGATTCACAAAAACTGGTGTTGTCTGAATGCTCTTGAACAATAAATACTAGGGACTCCCAACAGTTAACAGTATGGCAAACTTATGAGATCTATTCACAAACCACTCTTTTGTTGGAAACCTTCTCTGATAGTTTTGCCTTTTAAATTCAATATATTGCATAATGTGATGTTAAAGACCTAATGAAAGATAGCTTTTAAAATGGGTAATTTGGTCTCCTTCTATGAGTAATTAAGGGGAATGCCACCCCCCTCCCCCAGCCCATTCTCATTGAAGACAGAACAATGATCTTCCTGAGGGAAATATACACTTACATTTTAAGAAGCTGAGAGATTAACTAACCCAAAGTCTTCAAGAAATACATGATTACCAAAATGTAACTGTAGCAGCATCCTCAGCTGCAGACTCACCACTTCCTTTCATGTTGTGCATGCCTCTGACTCAGCCTTCTAAACTCTGATTATCTAATGTTTTGAGGCAGAGGCAATGCCTTTCCAGGTGAAGCCTTTCACACAAAATTTCAGTTCCCAATGCAATTCTACACAGGAAAAGGACTTAAAATATATTTGGTTACATGATTAGTCTTGGTTCAGAAATCGTTGTATCAAATAGTCTCAGGTGATAACAAAAAAAAAAAAAAATTGCTCCATAACTTCCAGCAACCCAGAACCCATCTGAGAGTCGAGGCAGGTTATTACCTTCCCAGGCATTATCAGGTGTTTTAAAGTTTCTCTAGGACTAATTAAACCTTACTACTTAAGCAAAACCCATTGTCTCCAGATGCAACTCACTGGAATTTAGTGAACAATACTACTGCTGACACAAAAGGGTCTCTCAATTGAAGACTATCAGGAGCAAAAAGCAGCAGAACCCTAGTTAGATCACTTAATTTAGCAGATCTTTAAATTCATAGGGTATACACAAAATAGCATCTATCCTTTTCAGAGGAGAATATACTTAAGGTGATGTCTATTCCCAGAATGTTACTTTCAACAATAGGATCTGATCATGAATATGATCATATAACCTAAACTTTAAGATTGCTAAATACATAAACATATAGCATGTTATAGGTCAACCTTTTAGTAGTAGATGATAAATAAGCCCTTGTAAGATGAGCTGCCAGGTAACCTGAGCGTAGCACTACTACTGAATTCAATAGGGTTCCATCGAGGACAAGTTGGAATATTCAACTCCCAACATAGGAAAACTGCCAAAAATATGATGCTCAGCTCTGTCTTCTGTGAAATGAGCCAATCAACCCTCATTAGCTTGTCAAGGAGAGAAATAATGTTTAAAATCTATTTTTTTCCCTAAAATATGTAAGAGTTTAGAGTTTATGGCCAACAGTTTTGGAGCCCTTTAGTTTTTTTTATTAATCCAGTGTACCCCACCCCTGACCTGAAGGAACTACTTGCAAAGGAGAAATGATAGCTATCAAGAAGGGGCAATTGGGACAAAACCTGGAGATGGCTTTGCAACCTAACTGAGACCAGTCATTCGCTAGCTATCAGAAATGATTGTTGCCACTAACTAGAGCTGGATGGAAAGAGATCCAAGTTAAAGGATCTCTGCTTCCCTCACTCATATGCTTTGCCATCCATTCCCCACAAGTATGAAATAAATGACAGTTAGCTGAAAACCTTTATCACTGCATTGTTTGAGTTCTAAGTAATTTAATTAGTTTACACAAAGTCACTCTGTTTATTCAGTAGGGACATCTGCACCACACCACTTCTGGTCCAGACAATCTTCTCAAGATTAACCTTGGGAACCACCTGTAGCTCCCACATCCCACATTTCCATTTCTTTATTACTGGACCACAGTTGAGACTGTTTTCTTTGAGAGACAGGATGCTTCCTTTCCAACTCTTTTCACTCTTAACCAGTTGATGGCAATGAGATTTGTAGGATCAGGCATAGGACTAGACACACTTTCAGAGCCATTATTCATAATCTCATTTGAAGTAAATAAAAAATACAAAGCACTCATTCCTTCCTGATACACATTAAAGTAACTGTGCCAGCATTAAGGGAAAAAGGTGTGGTAAAAAGAAAATATTTCCAATGTTTTGGAAGGCAACAATTAAACATAAAACTGAAAAGTCTGCCGACCTAAAACAATGGTCTTGAATTTGAGTTAGTTGTTCATCCAAAATGACCTCATCAGTGTACCTAAAAGTCACTACTCATCTCCATTCATGGCTCTTGGCAGAAGCAATGTGGAAACAAGGACTTAGAGAAGATGAGCATCAAATAATTAATTAAAATAATATTCTTTTCTCTCCACTCATTAAAATTAAAATAATATTCTTTTCTCTCCACTTGTTTCCACTGACTTCCCAACAATCACCGCTGGCCATGTGATAGGTATTTGAAGTAGTATAATAACAATCTATTAAGGTGCTTCATGGGGGAAATTTATTTCATGGTATAGGATAGAATTTGGTTTTATAATACAAATGCAAAGCCCTGCTCACACTCTAGAGATTGGGAGCAAAAAAAGGGTATTTTTATGACCTCTAGATTTTCATGGTTAAGAAGCACATCTGTTAGCTGGTGGCTTGAATTCTGCTTGAGGTATAAAAATCTTTGCCACTTCTGGAGTAATGAAAGAAGCCAGCCTAGGTATTGTATACCATCTCGCATTAAGAAAAATCCACAGGTTTAAGGCCATCTGTATTTAAATCCAAGGACAGATGAGACATTTAAATTTTAGTAGCACTCAGTTATATACCTGACATAGAAAAATGGCTACAATCCTTTTTATCAGGCCGGTGAATAGGCATTAAATGACAAAATATTAGTCAGGCCATAGATCCACAAAACCTATAAGTTCTGAAGCAGCTTCATTAAATCTATTTTTTTCGGAGGGGAGAAGAATGTCATGGTATAGTGTTTCCAGTATTTGAGGCATAGGGCTTTTTAGAGGATCACTGCCAGATACTTCATCTATCTGTCTATTTTCATATTTATTGTTTTACCAATCACTTTATTCATCCATCTGTTCATCTGTGTAAACCCATTTTTTAAAATTTTAATTTTTATTTATAGACTGACCTTAATAAACTCTCTTCAAGTACTGCATGTTTATCACTGTCATGGATGAAAACGTTATTAATGACAGGAGGGTTTAACAGTGAAGATGACTGCCCTTTAAATTCCTTTTCAGCTGACTGGGCCGCAGCAACTCAGCTGGGTGGAGGTGGCTCCGATCAATAAGGTCAGAGTTCAGTGACTGTTCCCATCACTTCTATCATTCCCATCATTGCCAGCTAACGATGCCTGCAGGTGGAGTGGTGCAGTTTTCTACATTTATGAATTGCCTCACTCCATATTGAAGGTTCTTCAGCCCTGTAGGAAAATCTCTGGATATTTATTTTGAAATACATACAAGTTAAGACATGGACGTTGAGAAAAGAAAAATAATCCGGTGTATGATAACAAGCATTATGTGTCTGTAATGCAGCACTAGCATAATATTGGACAAAAGTATGCTAATTTAGGTTTCAGCAGGTACAATGAAATGCTAATTCCAAGGCCCTCAAGACTAAAATACATTTTCTTTCATTTAAGACAATGTAATAACCAGATGACTTGTTCATATACAAATCTGCATCAACCAATTATTAGGTGTCTATGTCAGATTTGAAGTGCAATGGATATTTTCCTCACAGACAGGCAATTTATAACTTAATTCAGAAAATGACTTTTATTACCTTTATTACCATAATAACACTTCTGTTTAATTACCAACAAAAATATACAAGACTGTTACTTTGAAAAAAATAGTTGGGGAGGAAACGTGGTAAGAAACCTTATGTTAGCTTCAAATTCATACGTGGTAAATTAAGTCTAATTTGAATTTATGATGCATAATAGTCATAAGTTTGCTATAAGTCCATTCAGTTGACATAAGACCTAACCTTGCTTGAAAAACACATTTTTTATTTGGCTGACTTAAAGCAGGTTTGATAAATACTCAGCAAGATACCTTAGCCCTCAGTTTTTATCTTTGGTTGGCTTAGGTGCTTTCTGTGACAGAGTTTTGTCATTAAAGATGTAGCTGTGAGGATGGGGACGTGCCATTCATGACTTCATTTAATCTCCTAGGTCATTAGCCCCTGGAGTCCTGCCTTGGATTTTCTCTCAATAGTGGTGGCATAAGTCAAGTCATAAACATATTTAATCCAATGTTGTTGAAAATCTGTAATTTTGACAGTCAAATAAGCAACAAAAATGCATATACTATTTTGTGACATGTAATTTTAACTTCATTCAGTCTCTTTGCTTTTGAGACATTGTTACCTGCAGGATAGGGCAATAAAATAAGGATGTACAAGAATGTGTCAAATGTAGGGCTTCCCTAAATTACACTCGGAGGCACAGATTAATACATTTAATACATTCCAGTCATGAGTGAAGTACTTATAGCAGAACAACTGCTCCTTCAGTGATATCATTCACTGGAATGAACTACAGCTAACAGTGACAAGCTGGAAAAATGCCCCCACTTTTCAAACTGTACAAATGGCATTTGGACACAGTAACTCAAAACTGGACACTTCATTTCAAGTTTAAAGCTAGTGGTCCAGTCAAAAGCTATTACTCCATCTTCTTTATTTGTAGTCCATGCTTTTGTGCTCTTTAAGAATCAAATAAATACTGGTGTAATGGTTAGCAACTGCCAGTTCAACGAAAAATACTGCTAAATTCACCAATAAGTCTTTTTTCTACACACACAAATTTATGACATAAGAACTGAACCCATTCCTGTTACGATGTCTGGATAGTTTTTTAATGTAGAGGGAGACTCACTTTAGTGATAAGAGTTTAAACCTGAACTACTTTTTCCTTGTTTCTGCATCATATGTCTAGTTTTGGGAAGAGTGTGAAGTAAAGGATCAGTATGTGGAAGTGAAGGTGTACTGAGTTGCTCCAATCTCAGCTTCATGCTCCAGATAGGAGTATTTATTCTGTAGCTGGACAACCCCTTGCTGAAACTATTCATTTTCCTCTGCATTTGCACTGGACTAAATGACTCATTATTATCAAGCATAAGATTGCATTTCTCTCCATTTTTCCTAAACTAAAGAACTTAATCAATGAAAAGGGACTGGGGCTGAAACTATCATATTTGCACAGATGCTTCCAGTTCTTTCTCCACCTTCTCTGAGCTAAATGATCTTCCTCCTCAAATTCTCCTTCAAACAGGCTTTTCCAAGTCCATCTCCCTTGGAGGGACCCCTTGATTCTCCTCTCCCAGTCTATCATCTATTATTATATAGATGCTGATGTCCTGATTTCCTGTTGCCTGGCACCCTGTGTTGTTATTTACTCTAGAGTAAAACATAACTTTCTAAGCTAGGAGTATTTTATAACTTATAGCACAGGTACAACACATAGAGAATCCAGCCACTGGCTTTTCATTAACTCATTGCTTTGTCATATATGCTTGGATCTCTGGACATGAACCCTAAGGTCCCTGCCTTGTTAAACCTGCATTTAGTTAAAAAT